GTAGAACAGGATCTCTGGAGGCTGTTTGCAACTGTGGTCACAAAATTCAATGTTCTGGGAGAATTGGAAGCAGCTCCATTTTTGGGGGGCCCCTTACACAGCTCAAGTTCTGGGCCCTAGGGCCTGATGGTGAGTATGCCCACAAGGCCCACTCATACGTCCACTTATATGTTCCACCCACCCATGAGTTCGCTCACAGGGAGTGGAGTGTGTAGGGGATGTGTTATGTGTAGAGGATCTAATATGTGTGCTTATGGTATGTAGTGTATAGGGATACCAGTTTGTGCAGGTTATGCAGTGTGTTTGTGTGTAGTGGAAGCAGTGTGTATTTGTGTATAAGGGATGTATTGTGTGTTTCTGGTTGTGTGTAAGGGATGTATTGCAGGAATCTGTGTTTGTATGCATAAGGGATGCAAGGTGTGTGTCTGTAAGTGTGTGCATTTGTAACCGCAGGTGGTTCCCTTATTTACCACTATAATGTCTTAAAGCATAGAACTTAGTAGGGCTAACCATACAGATATCTTAGCCATAATTTCATATAGTGTACGAGATCCTCTATTTAACATATATAAATAATTGAGAATACAATATAAAATAAGGATTGTCTTGGAAGCAATCGTTTTGTCTTTTTGGATATTTATTATATAAAAATATAAATATAAAATCCATTATAGCAGAGTCAATAAGAGTAAATTACATACCTGCAAATATCATTAATAGGTTAACATACCCTTCTGAACATGTCATCATGTCAGCCTCTCTGTCATTTTAAGATGGAGCAGCGTCTGTCTCCAAGTCTCTCCTCTGTTTCTTAACATTTAAAAGTACACCTATTTATACCTTAGGTGTCTCCATTTTAGAGTTACCGTAGTTCAAATATGAAAAAGTAACACTTCTTTTACTTTATTCATTTTAGGACCTCCCTTAACTTCGCAAACATACAAGGCCATAACTAAAGAGTGCAAACGTCATGGAAATTTTCCTGACTTAGTTCAAGATGGCATCTTAAAGTCTGAATAGGTTATCTGTTGTTTATACTAAGTCGTAAGTGCGCAGTCGTGGGAGATTCCCGGATTTGGGGAAGTTCCATTTATTTGGGGTTACAACAGTATATTGTGTACTGCAAGAGTCGTAGTATAGCTTTGAAGCTTGTTTATGCATTAGAGTCCCCCTCCCGCCCGGCTCTGGAAGGGGGAAAGGGGGTAAAACTTACCTTTTTCCAGCGCTGGACGGAGAGCTCTCCTCCTCCGATCCTACTTGTTACACAAGACTCGAAATGACTCCATTATTGTTACCACATGTTGTTACTGTTGCAGCCCTATACTTTTAACACGAATGGACTATATGAATCCTTATAAAGAACCATTCATGATACGAACAAGAGACCCCCCAAACGCTGGCGTGTGCCGCCATTTAACCTTCTCACCCCGCAAAGTACCGAATGACCGACCACCCAACAAGCGGAGTGTGGCGCCCATTAACCACCCAGGCGGCTGCGGTCTGCGGTTAACCACAAACTAATTGACGGGCAAGGAGGATCGACGTTCGCCCACAAATCACCGAATTGGAACTACCGAACTACCTCACGAACGGAGACCTCCTACAGTGGGTCGTGTGTCAGCAATTAGCCTGTGGTTTCTGTGGTTAACCGCAACTCAAGTACCGTGCTACCAGGCGGTCCTAATTCGTATACCGAACGATTTCCACTACCAGACAGACAGCGGGGATTCGCATGAACCTATACCCGAGTTCAGTTCCATAAGTTGGAGGCGAGGTCCCGCTGCTCGTTAAACCGTCTAAAAACATGGCAGCCA